GGGGGGGGAGGCCTCGCGGGTCGCTGTAGTGCCTTTCAGGGAGCGTCATATTTTGGGAGGACACCCCGGCCAGGGATGGCTCTGGCTCCGCCTCAGTCTGACTCACTCATCGAATTGCTGGCCTGCGGATCGCCACAGGGGAGGCGTCCGTCCCCTTTCCCAAGGGAGGTTGGACCTCCGGGAGGGTGGTCTCCGCACAGTTGCCGGGGAACGGGTGCTGGTCGAGCGAATGCCGGATTGTCTCGACACAGCACCGTAGGGAAGGCCGTCCCGACGGGAAAGCCTGCCTGGAGCCGGCCTCGAGCGAATCTGGTCCCTTCTTCGTCGCCAGAACCGGACCGCACCTCCTTCGGGGCCACTGATCCTTGAGTGGTAGGCGGCGGGAAGTAAGTCCGGGGAGGGTGTCCCGGCTTGCCGGCGCCCAGTGAGGCATAGAACGTAAGACCATAGACTGCCCCATGCTGGTGGCCAGCCGTGCAGAAGTAAGAACATGCGTTGATCGTCCCGCCGGTCCTGCTCCCGGGTGGGGACTGACAATGGCGGGCCAGCCATGTGCCTGTCCGGGACCCGAGAGGGGGGACGCCCCGGGACTGCAGATCGTCGACTGGACGGCTCAGGGTACCCGTATGCGGTGAGCGGCCCGGCTCTCGGGTCCCTTTGCAGGGCACCCGGCGATACTGGTGGGTGACTATCCGGTGCCGGCTATCTGCCGGTTGATTTTGCCGCCACCCCAGGCATCACATCTGTGGTGGCCTTTCTCGAAGGGCCCCAGTTGATCAGATTGCAGGAGGGTCCTCAGCTCGGCTCTGGGCAGGATCTCCGACGACCAGCGCCAAGTCGGGGAGAGGACCGGGCTGGGCGCCTCATCTCCAACCCAATGGCCCTGCCTTGCATGGGGACTCCCGAGGGTGCAAGCATCCGTGTGGCCCCTTGGACGCCAGATGGGCCATCCAAGGGCCCGAGCGCCCGGGCGAGCGGCGTTTGCAACGAAGCCCCCATCAAGGAGATGAGGAAGGCCGGCTCCGCTCGGACCACGGAAAAGGGAACCTCGGAAGAGATTGTGGCCTTTCCGAGGCTCTGGCGTACCTGCCCCTCCCTCCCCCCCCCCCTGGCTCACCTCCATCCCCTGCCAGGTCCTGGGTTCCGTTGATGGCTGGCGATATCCCGGCGAGACCGTGGGCGTGGTCGGTGGCGCCTGGCAGGCCGGGTCCTGAAGAGAGGAAGGGCAGCCCTCTGGGGGCGGGCTGGATGGAGGTCCAACGCGGGGAGCCGCGGCCTGGTGTGTCTCCTGCCATGCGCTGCGGGCTTGGCCCGGGGCCACGCATCGCACCTGTGTTCGGCTTTGCCACGCTGCCACGCTGCCACGCTGCCATCGAGAGGACCCCCGAGCGGATATGAGGGGCAATAAATAAATGCGCCATTCATCGCACACTCGCTGGTCTGTGGAATGCGGTCTGGTGTCCGGATCGGGTCACGCGCGGGTCGGGGAACCATTTGGCATTCGCTGGCGCGTGCCACCCGCGCTGCTGACTAGGGGGTGATCACGCATGCATTTGTGCCCCAACCATCGGCATCAAGGGGGGTTTCACACGCAATGGCCCGGGAGCCCGGGTCCGGGCGCAAACGGGCGTATGCCCCCGGCCTGGGGACGGTCCTTGAGTTGTGTGTGCGCGTACACACGCACGCGCTCGCCGGAGTGCCCAGCGGGGGGGGGGGGGGCGGCGTCTGGGCAGGGTGGTTACCCGGGGTGAGGCGGGGGGGCGGGCGGAGGGGCCTCTCGGCGGGGTCCAAGGAATGCCAGGCCGCGGGCCTGGGGCGTTCATTGCTTGGTCCTGTGGAACTCGGATTCCCTCTTTGCCGCCCCGACTCCCAGGGGGGAGGAGGGGAATGGGATGCGGGTCGGGCGTGCCTCGAAGGTTGGGGGGGCAGGGCCTTCCTTCCCCGGGGCCGGGGGCCTGGTGGGAGATGAGCCGCTGTGATGCCATGCCCGGCCACTTTCCCTGGGGGGGGGGGGGGCGGATGGCGGATGGGGCGCGAGGAAGGCCGCCGGAGCAGGGCCGCCAGCCAGCCGTGACGCGCGGGTCGGCCCCCGAAGCGATGCCGTTGTGCAGGGCGGAATGAACAGCTCCGTCACCACGGGAAAAGAGGGGCCGGCTCGGCCTCCAGGTGCGCGCGCGCGCGCGCGAGAACGCGAACGGGCATCCTCCGGCCCCCTCGCCCCCGGGGGCCCGGCCGGTCTGAGCGACGGCCGCGACCCGGTCTTTCACTTGTCGAGCCCCGGGTGCGTCAGCTCCGTGTGTGTGTGTGTGTGTGTGTGTGTCCGATCCCGCCGCACCTTCCTCGCGTGGCAGGCGGGGGTGCCATGCCGGGGGAGAGCTGCACAAGGCCACCACCGACTCACGCTCTGGCTCGCGGCAAGGGTAGGGCGCGGGCGCAGGAGGCTCCCCCCCCCCCTCCCCCTCCGCCAGCGAGGCAGCGGCCCCTGAGGGATATATTATCCCGGCCAAATGGCCAATATACTCTCTCGCGGCATACGTGGACGGGGGTATTGTGCATGCAGTGGAACATGCCCTGCCCCCTCCCTCGGCCCCCCGCCCCCCCCCTGGCTGTCTCTCCCGCTGGTCTCGTCCTCTGTTCCAGCGGTTGGCCAGTCTTTCGACCGGCACGTGGGAGCCTTGTCCCGAGAGGGCACACCAGGCGCAAAGGGTGAAGCCGAGGCGGCATCGGCCCCGCTGGTCGAGACGGATGTCCCGCCCGAGCACCGACTGGCAGGCCAGCAGGGAGAAGGTTCCCGCGCGGTCCCGGGCATCCGTCCTCTGTGCCCCCCCCCTCCCCGGGAGGGGAGGGCGGAGGTCACGGAGGGAATTTCCGCCAAGGGCACCCCTGCCCACAGGGTCACCACTTGGCAATTTCAGCCGGGGCTTCGCATCTCGCCGGGTCCGAAGGGCGTGTGGGGCGCCGACAGCCCGGCGGCCGATCTGGGAAACTAACCCGCAAGACCGCCGGAGAGAGGTCGGGGCCTGTGTCTAGGGGGGGGGGGGGGCGCGGGGAGAGCATGGTCAGGGATGTTGACCCAATGCGGGTGGTGACAGTGCTCTGGCTGCGGGTGGGAAAGGGCGCAGGGGGGCGGGGGGCGTATTTCGGCGGTGTGACCGAGTGCCGGGGGCCGAGGTCGCCCCATCCGCGGGTCCGGCATCGGCCCCGCGCTCCGTGCCGATGTTCACTTAGCGCCGGGGGCAGCGGCCCATTTCGTCTACGGCCAGGCCACGCCCGCCGGGAGAGGGGCCTCTGCCCGGGGGGGGCGGGGCGGCGGGGCGGCGGGGCTGGCCCGGGCCCCCATTTGTTATTGTCACCCAGCCCCGGGCCACTCCAGGCCGTGGCCCGGTCCGGGGATTGCTCGGGGGTGGTGTGGGCGCGGGCCGGCCCCTCTTTCTTGGCGCTTCAGCCCAAGGGGAGGGGGGCCTCGCCTCGGAGCTGCTTCCCTTCCCCTTCAGGGGGACAGCTTGGACACATTCGCCCCAGCCAGGGCCGATCGCGCGGACCCCACGCGCTCCGGGCAGGCGCGCCCGGCCGCGCGGCTGTTTTCTCTCCCGCCCGGCGGGGCCCGGGAGGCGGCGGGCAGACTCACGGCAGGGGTGTCGATGCGGCCGCCCCAGGCATCGGGCCAATACTTGCCCCCGTCCCCGACGCCTGCCGAGAGCCCCGGGGGCAGGCAGGCAGGCAGGCAGGGCGGCCAGTGGCCCGAGACTGACAGATGAGATGCCGTGTGCCAGCTCCCTCCCTGGTTACCCGCTGCCGGTGGTGGCACCAAGATGCCCGGGCCCGATCAAGCGGTGGCCATCTTTTCGCCCGCGATGGTCGGGGCTTGCTCCTCTGGGGCTAGCTCCGTGCGCCGGGCGCCGGCCGCACACGTCCGGGCTCAATGTCGCGCCTCCGTGAAGCTGGCCTCGGCGCGTGCGCAACCTCTGTCCTTTTGGTCCAGAGCGTCTCGCCCTCCCTATTTCGGCCTCCCTACAGTTGTCTCTTTAAGGGGTGCTTTGCCTGGGTTCGGGCCAGCACTTGCCCGCAAACGGCCCTCCCGGTCCGCATTGCGCCCCCACAGCAAGATGTTAGGTGACTCGATGCCCGGCCATCCGTATGCGTGTGGCATGCGCGGGCGCTGTGCCGCTCCGGCTGACGGTGGCGGTGGCGTGGTGGCGGGTGGGGCGAGGGGAGGGGCGAGGGGAGGGGCGTCAGTGCGGGCGGGCCAGCACCAGCGCCAGCAGCAGGTCGGTCACGCACTTGTACCGGGCGTAGCTGAGCTTGCCATCGACAAAGCCATTGGTGAGTTGGCCCTTGAACCCGATCGAGAGCACTGGGACACGCGCGCGCGCACACACACACACACACACACACACACACACACACACACACACACACACACACACACACACACACACACGGAGGACGACACGTGGCAGCAGCCAGGGTCAGCGGGGGACAGGCAGGATGGCGGCCATGCCGCGCGGCACCAGAAGCAAGAGGCACGCACGGTCACAATTCAAATGATTCCCGGCCGAGTCCGGGGGCGAGAGAGAGAGTTCGGCCAGGGCGGCCTCGGCAGCCTCGAGCTGCTGGCTCTGCGGGTCGGACATAGGGGCAGAGGAGGGGGG